TTTTATATGATTCTTTCCTTTGTACCCAATACCTCTCAACTAGTTCCTGACAAGTGAGCAAGTTTTCACTTGGTTCCCAAGAGTCCTCTTCTGATCCATAGCCTTCCCAGCGCACCTTGTATATCACTCTACCGTCCTTATAAACATAAAAAAGAACAGTGGGCAATCAATTAAAACAAACAATCATGGTATCTATGAAGCAGCACCTTTATTTAAAAAAAAATACATATTTTGGCAGATTGTGCAGAGTTCTAGAATCGATTTTCACCTTTCCAGTAATAGTTAACCCTTTTAGTCCTGTGAGTGACTAAGACAGAATTTCTCCTTCTTATATCTATTCAATATCATGCAGACAAGTGATGAGAATAAAGAAAAATGTCAATAATCTCCTATTATTACTAATGAGATCTTGGAAGTGAAAGGGTTAATTTAGGTTCTATAATAATCTGGATCAAGTCTGCATTTTGATTGGTTCTCTCTAATGATCTATTCAAGTTTATAAAATTATCATTAACAATTTTTTTCCTCTTTATCATATCAAATAAATAAATTGGTACTGCTGGTCTGTTTAGGTAATAGATCAGAGAAAATGTCATAATGTGGTAAGAACAGCAATGACACAGGCAGAATCAGCTTAGACACTACCCTCACACAGTGCCTCTTCCCACCCAGGTACATAATGGACACCAGAACACTGTCAAGGAGATTGAGGGGGACTGGGACTGGGATAAGCTAAAGATACATGCAAGCACATGCAAACTACAATTGGCAACAAAATTGTTGACACATTGACCTTTTCAACCATCTATCACTTCAATTTTATCTCTTTAGCCAATGTTCATTTCACCTATTCACCTCCTTCACCCCAAAGCAATGTTGTATTACAATTCCATGAACCTTAAGCTACATACCAGCAACACTGAAAGGGGGAGGAGGGTCTTGTCAAAGATTTTAATTCTGGCAAAGACAGGAGTGTTTCTCTTCAAATAGGACCCTTCAAATATGATGTGTCAACTAATTTTGTTACTTATTGGAGGCTTACAACTCACATTTCCCTTTCTTTTTGTTTTGTTCTTCTCTTCTTCCTATGCAAGGGTAAGTTTAAAAGGAGAAGGAGAACAAGAAATACTGGGTGGCCAGGTTATCACAAGTGCCACGTTGTTTCATCAGATTACAGGCTAACCTGGGAACAATTCAGTCAAAATGTTCCATGAAGTTGGCAAAAAAGGCTCAAGCAAATTCTGAAAGTGTAGCTGATGTACAATATATCTTGCTCTCAACATGTGTCTTTATAGCTTAGTTAGCATTTAGGGACTGGCTAGTATTTGAGAGGAACAGGTTTGAATCCCATTGAAGCCTGATTTTTTAACAGCTTTTTTTTGCAGTCCACCTTCAAGGATCATATCTTTGCTTGATTCACTCCTCTTAACCTGTTGCTGGTAAATTCTCCAATTAATTCCACTCAAAAATAGGGAAGTGGCTGTTGTACAAATTTTTCTGGAGCAAACTTCCATCAACGCATAACCTTAAATATGGTAAAAGTAACTAGCTAAAGAAGGCTAGAAGGAGTAGTTGGTAGATTTGGTTAAAAACCGGCTCATGTTGACTGATCTGCTTGGTCAGCAACATCTAGACTTTCTTGCCTCTCAAGATGGAATATTTTACACCTCAAACAAAACTTTCACAACATGGGGGATTATTTTTGTAGAGAAACTAATTTATCAACATTATTTTATAACTACATGAACCCCAAACAATTCCAATGTATAATCTCTCAGCTATTATGGGCTGCACTGCTTTCCACCATTGAAAATTATTCTGGTCTAAATGCATAAAACCAAATTGCTACATAATTCAAATTCTAAAACCAGACTATTCTACACTAATTGTCTAAATGGTTTTTAAAATGTTTTGATTGCAGCATCTTTATTGTTTAAGCAGAAGGTTATGAAATGATTTTCCTTTGCCTTAAATAAGACAAATAACTTATCAGCTCCATTTGTATACTAACACTCCCAGGTAATCCTAAAGTTTTCCAATTACACAACAAGTCTCTTGATCTCCTCACAGTCTGTTAACTCTTTGGCCCCTCAGAGTCATTGGAATCTAATTTCAATATCATCCCTGAATCACACATTAAGGTCCAGAGAATAAAGGAAATGATCAACAACTAAAGAAGCTCTTGATTGTTAAACAAATTCTCCTTGTTAGCACCTCAGGAAATACACGGAGAACTGTATGGAGAATATACATACTGATGTTAGGGTGTCTGGGGTTAATTCTCCTAAATCAGAGCAAATCTGGAGCTTAATTTTACACTAGTGGAGAAATTAGTTCCTGTTTCAAAGATGGTCATATTTAACCCTGAGAGTGACCAGCACCTAATTTCTCCTAACAGTAAAATGGCTGTATCATTCATTAAGATCATGAGAGTAAAGGAAATGATCACCACCCAAAGAAGCTTTGATTGTTAAACATATTCTCCTTGTCGGTACTAAAAGAAACATATAGAGAAGAGAATGGAGAATATGGATACTGATGTGAGGGTGTAAAGGGTTATGGGAAATCTGTTTCATTTTGGAAATATATTAGTCCACTTTATTGTCTCAGTTAGAGAGGAGAGACTAAGACAGAGTAGTTAAAAACAAATTTGGGGGTAGGGTGGCAGGAAATCTAAGATTTCCAGAGGTGGACATCTCTGCCAGAGCAAGCCACCAAATTCATCTGGAGGATTGTAAACTGAAAACCCCACACTACCTTTGACAGGCCTTTGCAGAGGGAAAAGGAAAGAATTTTGACAGTTTTATCCCTCCCTAAAGAGACGATATCAATTGATATTAAAAGAGACTTGTTTAAACATAAAGCGGTAAAAACGAACTAAAAAATATCAATTGAGGGTCTTCATGCCTTGAATACCAGTGCAACCTGAACAATATCTGAAATTTCCCCACTACATACTGATAGATCTGCGATGCTGACTTATATTTTCGGAAGACAAGAAATACAGAAACACACAGGCATGACACTACCTAGGTCGATATTACAGACATCAGAGACTTCCCGATCAGTAAATATCCCGATATTCACCTGCCATCTCTCAAGGACAAAATTTTGTGGGGGATTTGTCTAGCGTGTTTGCTTAAAGTTAACAAACTTCCTTCGTCGCGTGAGGTAAAGAGTCCCTTTAATTCCTGTCAAACCTGCATTGCGACACTACCTTACTACAATAGCCTCGATTACTGAGAATTAACAGTTCCCAATTGGATTTCTCCCGGAAAAATGGTCGGTAATCTTGCTGTAGGGTATGTTCATGAGCTAAGTTTGACATTCGGTTTAATACAAAGATCGACTGAAACATCATTCAAGTTTAATGAACATTCGGCCGGCCAGGCTGAAATTATGTATGCATGACCAATAAATACTTTATCGCGTTGTACAGAATGCCGAATAGTTCACGGCACAGACAACTTCAACTTACCTTCTTTTTCGCTTCAAGTATTCTTTCCACTTCATAAATGTCATCTGTGTTGTCAGACTCACAGTCAAAATCCATGATTTCAATTGAAAATTAAGGATCCCTTTCAAAGTTCAGAACATTGTTGAGGGAATTAAGAGATGTCATTCCACTTGAGCCTGCAATAGAAAAGGGCAGCGAAATGTTTACGGCATCCAGTCTTCCCTCGCCGAGAGTATTTTAAGGCAAATAAGAAGTAACTTGTCTTGTACGTGTACTCTTATCTTGCTAACAGTTTCAGTAAAATCATTTTATTTGTTGCGTCACAAACACTGGAATGCTCTATTGCGCGCGAGCACCTCGTTTGAAGCCACGGGCGCACCTCCTGGGAGGGCACGCGCGCTACGTGTTCTCAATGAACTTCAATCACTTCAGTGTGTCCAACGACATGCTTTTTAAATTGTACATAGAAAGGGAATAGCTCTACCTGAGTCAATTTTTTCTGATCTTTTATTGCCGCTGAGTTTCCAAAGCTATTATAGACCTCTTGAAGTAAAACCATCCCCGAACAGTTTATTAATAACTCCAAAAGTAATGAAAATTCACTTTCCCCCGAACGAATGGCTAACTGATTAAAGAGAGAATTACCTCTATACTCTGGTTCTTGCATAGAAAACCAAAAACAGAGTCCATCTTGTCTCACGCTAATGATTGACGCCAACTTTTATTTATTTATTTATTTTTTTCAAAACTTTTAAGGGCAGTAAATGGCAAAACAAAATATTTCAACCGAAAATTAAACGGCGTGAGTTGACAGTAACTTTTCAGTAGACCACTCGACTCTATTAAAGCATAGAGCGATTGCAAAAAATTTTTGGGAAGGGAACGAAGAGCACCTTTAAGAGTTGACCGAACTGACTTAATTTTATGCGTTTACTTTTGCCACACCTTTGTCACGCTTGTCTTTAATGACCATTCTGTGTCAGTAAGATGTAAAATCGACATTGTCAGATTCTGCACTACAATCTGAGCTCTGATATTTGATACATCAGGAGCCATTCAAGAAAATGAAACAGTATCTTTACAGTTTTTGTTTATTTGTCCGAAATCTGTATTTCGGTTTCCTCCCATTTTTTTTCGCTTCTTCTCAGTGAGAACTTCTGGGTAACGGGTGAAACTACTCCTACAGACTAAGCGAGAGTTACAGTTGGAGACTGTATCAAACAAGATTTTTGAAGTGTTTCCACGTAAAAACCCGTTCATAATGAATACTTAAAAATAAACCAAAAGAAAAGAAAGCACTATAAAATAACTTCATTAATAGAAAAAAAGATTCTATGTTAGGAATAAGTATATTTACGTCAACTTTTTTTTACCCTTTACAGTGGCCAATTTACATTTTCAACACAGTTGTTAACACTAAATTACCTGCTATATTTAGGCTCGACTCAGAGTCATTTTAGCCCGAGCCGTTTGGCCAAAACGTATTCATATTTAAGAACATAAACTGTATTGCTACGGTATCTTTATTCGTTTTTTTGGAGAGCATCGTGAAAATAAAAACTGAAAAAATATGATAACAAAAAGAATCGTAACGATCACGTGAGCGTGCAAGCGGGCTAAAATGTACCAAAATCTCCATTTTGGCCCGCAAAAAGCGCCACAATACCCAGCAAAATTGGAAAAAATGTGTTACGGAAAGTCTAGAAAGGGTAGTCACAAGGAAGTATCTTCGACCACACTTTTATAATCCTCGTTTCTTAGAATTACAGGGTCTTCCAACTTGTCCATAGTCATCGCAGTGTTATGAAATGCGCATTCTCCATCGTTTCCTGTGTTGCAATCTCCTGATTCTGCTAGAATTCCCTTTCCACAACTTTCTGAAGATGCCCTATTTACATGGGTTGGCGAGATACCATTACGCATGTGCAACTCCACAACATCTCTATGCGTCATTTGATCACGTATTGTCGTAGGACTGTCCCACGTAAATCTCCTCGGAGCTCTTTTGCCGTTAGACTCGTTTAAATTTACATCTTTGACCAATGTAGGCTTACCATTGCTCTCTAACGACAAGGGAGGTGGCTCGGATACCGTTCTCCTGGATCGATGAAATGTGTTTGACATCATTTTTGCCATCGTATCTCGCGTAAGGGCAGCTTTCACAAACTCAGGTGTATTTTTCTCCGGGTGTAGCAGAATAATGAACAGCTTTGGTGCAAAATTGCAAAGCAGAAAACTAAAAGCGCTACAAAGTTGAGCACAACAGTTCAAAAACGTTCGAGTCCTCTCTGTCTTTAAGCTTGTAAAGATGGCTATTACAAGGCCCCATGTGATTAACTGAATATACATGGTAAAAGCTATGTACTTTGTCTCTTTGAAATTGCTTGGCAGTTTTCTAGCTCTAAAAGCGTAACATGTCACCATCAGCGACAAAAAAAGTTCGTATGCATATATAGTAACATGAATTATCTCTCCAACGATAGACTCATTGTGTTCACACGTAATAGTCTTATGATGGAGTGGTACTATAATTACATGAACGCTGGGAGGTTCAAAAAATAGGAGGACGATAATGAAAACCACAGGTAAAATATTAAGAGATCCAAGAGCTATAAACTGATACTTTCTGTTGTAAATCCAGCAAGACTTCGACGATACAGCCCCCTGGAAATCAAATACATGAAGCAAGCGAGCAGTTTTCAGAAACAAAATTGAGAGGCTAATGTTGACGCAAATTGGGACAACGAACATGTATGCCGTGCATAAAAACGGAGTCGGCTTAAAAATGAGAAAGCAAGCTGCCAAGAAAGCTACAAAAATGTTCAGCAAAAACACATAGCTGAGTTCTTGATTTGAAGATTTTACTATCGGAGTTGTACGGTATTTCACAAATACTCCAAACGTTAGTAAAGTAAGGATGACACCAATTGCCGCAGCCACTAATAAGCCGATGCCTTGAGGATCATCAGGAGATAAATTATTCAGCGGAAGAGGCTCACACGCTGTATTGCCTTGATTGGGCTTTTCATCTGCTAAACAAGCTGTGCAGTTTGTTGAGCTGTAACTTGTACTTACTGAGCCAGACCGACAAGGGATACATTCCCAGCAACAATTCATGATTGCAGATTGTCTCGTACCTGGAGGACACGACTCACTGCAACGAGAAGATGGAACAACCTTGCTGCCATTGTTCCACACTAACAGCTCCCTCTTAAGCTGTAATCTCTGCTCATTAAATCTACCCCAGGTTCCCACCTGTTTAAGAATAGGAGTTTCCCCTGGAACGAGCTGGTAGTTGACGATATCGTATGCTACTGAACGCAGAGAATCCCCGTTTTCGTTAAAGCTAATATCACCCGTCAGTCCCTGAAATTGAACATTCCTCAGAAAGCGTAACACATTGTCGGCGAGAGCATTTGAAAGTGGGCATGTGGTTTTAGACAAGTTGTATGGGCCTTGTTGGCAGCGGTAAACTGCATCAATTGCATGCGCAGCAGCCTGAACCGCATCAATGACGTAAGCTGAGGTTGTAGAGTGCATGATTGAAAATAAATCCTCGTTTATCCTGGTCAGCTGATCTCCGCAACCCTTCCAAGGAAACTGAGAGCAGTTGTTCACTTGTTGCCAAAATTCTTTCGACCATTCATTTTGAAAGCGCGGTGAAGACGCGTTGATAGACACGAAATCCTCTTCGAAGCCGGATGCGTTGAAACGGCGAAAAGTAGTTCCGATGACTGCACTGTACTCAAGAGAATATAAGGATGTTAACACAGAAGTTGCTTCTGACCAGCCATCCGGAGCGATCCAAGTACGATCAAACAATTTCTGTTTATAACATTCCTGGAAGAAATAATGAAGAGTTGAAATGCCTCCCGTCCAAAGCAAGATGACTTTGACAGTGGTTGCCTTTTTCAACCTTGTGACGATTCTCTGAATTTTGTTTTCGTAATTTGCGGAAGGGATGTAATCTATGCTGTGAATACAGAAAGTGTTTCGCTCATGTGCTACATGCTCCAAAGCTCTTACGCCATATCTTCCGTAAGAGCTGTCGCTACCGATTACCCAAATGTAAGTCCAATTGAAATAGTTGATGACATCACTGATTGCTACGGCTTGTTGACTGTCCGGGGGTACAGTGCGGAAAAATGTCTCGTAATAAGGTAGGCTTAGCTCGTCACTTGTTGCCGAAGGACTGATAAGTGCCGTGTTCCCAGCTTGTAGCATACTTGCCACGACAACTGAACTAGCAGAATCACTCGGACCAATGACCGCTGAAATTGGACGAGTTGAAACATTTACGAGGCATGAGCTGAAAACCTGTTCGTCTGGAGTGGTTGCGTTAGACACATCACCGCGTTCGGTTGGAGTGTTATCAGTCACCAATGAGAATGCCATGGCGTTTGCTCTTGAAGGAATTCCACAGGTGTCAAAAATCCGATAGCCCAGTGTTATATTCGGAAGTAGATACGGGCTCTTATTTACCTGGTCAATTGCGTAAACCATAGCTTGTGCATTAGCAAACTCCTGAATGTTCAATAAAGTAGCGCATTCATCGTCTGCAGTTTTCCTGTGAAGACTGAAGAGACCGACTACTAAAACATCACCATACTTGCAGTCTTCGTAAAAGGGTTTTTCTTTCCAACCTTTGGAAAAAGCACCCGATATGATAGCGACGAAGAGAGAGATTTTTAGCGTTAGTTTGTACGAAGTTCGCATTATGGCCCCAAATGAAACAATTCTAGAACCTTAATTACATATTCATAACCTTCTCTTGGGAACTCTAAAAAAATTTGCCTGACAATAGACTATTGTAAGCCTAACTGTAAACAACAATTCATTTCATTTTTTTTATTCAAAGACTTTGAAACAATAACGTAAATGTTTTCCTTAAGTTCAATTCTCTAGCAACAGTTCTGAGAAACAATGACAGTTTTACGGTGGGGTACTTCTAGCAAGCAAAATTCTTCACGCTAATAAAATTTTATTTTTCTGCCAGCCTCATGTGAACCTAGCACATGCCTTGGGGCCTGTTAACCTAGTCTCTGTTGCCCACTAAGCAGAACGTCTGACTGTGTAATCGAAATTTAAGTGAGTGTGGTTTTCTTTGGCGTCTAATAATGATTCTTTATATTCTACCAGTACCACAGCGAGGTGATTTTGAAATGACCAATCGTAAGCCGGTCAAATTTGACTAAAATTTAGTAATTATAAACGTCTCTGTTTCTAGTTTCTATTTCGTTATTCCTTCCTGTCCTTTATTTATTTATTCCTTAACGTGTTGCTTGGGTAACTTTAAGGAAAAGTTTAATAGAACTTTAGTTTGGTTCGGTCGACAACAGACCAATTTTGATTGCATTGAACTTAATCAAGAGTTTAGAAACGTTCTTCGCTGCGTCACCATGAATAACTTGAAATATTGCCTGTAATAATTTGAGTACTCACATCGCATTATCCACAAACTTACTGGGTTCCGAATCCGTGACTTGTACTAGAAGCTCTAGGGTGAAATAGCTCAGAGTTCGTTCGCATCCTTGTTGCACAAATAAGCAGCTTGCGCTATCTTCCAGCTCTATCCATCGTTTGTCTTGTTTTAATTGTCTCTAAATCAGTTGAGGAATAGTAGAGCACGAGCTTGCCAACACGCGAGAACAAAGCGAGGAGCGCTCGACACCACGCGAGAACAAGCGTAGTATGCGAAACCGACGGCGGAGGTGGGTAAACATTCGTGATCAGCATAAATTATATGTAAAACCGAACACAATACTGATTTAGCTCACAGACCATCATTTTATTTGTATCAAGATTTCAAATTCACCATCATGTCATTCTGTCTGATACGCTGAATACTTTCGGTGGTTCCAAACGTATGCACTCCTGTTTTATAAGAACGTTCAAGCTGAGATCAACCAACAGGAGAGTCAGTTATTTTGCACATTTTTTGTGAAAAGTACAAATAAAAGTAAAAGAATGCAAAACTGTGGTCTTACAGGATCATTAGTTCAAATACATAGGGGACATTCTTAAACCCTAACCGTGATGTGGTTTTCGTATTGCATGATACACTGAAAAACAACTCAGTTTGCGGTCGAACTTAGTCTAGTCAATGAAATATAATACCACAGAAATTTAAGAAAAAGTTAAGAACGTTGTCAGGCTCAAATCATACAAAAAATAAGAACGTTCAGCCTCAGCTCCAAAATGAAATGTTTCTTAAGAAAAAGAAAAGAAAAAAGAGAGTATGATTTCTCACACGACAGTCTCGAGTGTCCTGCACCGATCAAGTAGAAGTGGTGAACTTCTGGCCAACACCGAGTCGCAAGCTCACGGTAGTTTCCGTTTTAATTTTTCAGTTCGAAAATAAGAAACAAGAACAACAACTTTATTTTTCCACGATGTTCAATTATCAGGAAGAAAACCATTCATCATTAATGAACCAATGCTTAAATGAATCTTAAGAAATTCCGGCAAGTTACAACCAGTACTAATTAAAAATTCTGAGGATCGTTAATGACTTTATACGGAAACGTGCCCGCTCTCAATGAATGTTTTAGACGATACTGGACTACATGGATTCAAAAGGTAAGAGAAAATGTTCATGCATTGCCGCAGCTCAACGGGTAGACTATTCCAACGGGCTTATCCGTCTAGGCAAAGTTGATTGAGGGTGATGGAGTTACGGATCTGCCTCGGTACCTGTTGCAATCATTCTTTATTAAAAAGACTCTCATACTCGTGTTACTCTCACTTCTTTGGACCTAGCCTTTCAATCTTATAACGTGTGAATTTTAATTGCGTATTAAATAAATCATTCACCTCTTCATCGTGCTATAATTACTTTTGTACATCAAAATAAAAATTCTCCCGAGATCAGTTTAGGGCTTGAATTAATCATACAATAAACCTTTATACCTGAAGCGAAGAGTAAAGCGCGCCAATTTGGATTCATTGAAATGGGTGGAGAGGGTTAGGGTTAAAATGCGCCACTTATTTTGAACCCGGCGGGATGTACCTCCCATACTGCGGCCTCATTCCAAGAAGAAAATGGTTAATTGATATCTGTTTTTCAATTTTTACTTAGGTTACAAAAAATAAGATTCATGTCCGTCTCACGCAACATGCTGTAACACAGGGGGTAATGACCTGGATAAAATTGTAAAATGTTCACTCATTGTCGGACTTATTCCTACTTTTAGTTTGGAAGGATACAGAACCCGGCTCCAGCTTTCCGAACGGCCCCCTTAGGTCATTAAATATTCTGTCTATAAATAAACGGTAAATGAAAAACTTAAAGAGGGCACACAGTATATTGACCTTAGTACGTGAGCGTACTGATTCGCACGAGACTGGCTGTGCCTTATATATAAAATGTGTTCTCTCCTGTGCCAAGAAGTTATTCATGATGATTCGACCTAAAGAATTCTTTACAAATTTCTTCAATCGACCTCGATCTTCGTGAGACCTCGATTGAAACAGAATCCATGTTCCATGGCGGGCAGATGCTACCATAGAGGGATGTCACACGCCTAATTAAATGAAAAGGGTTTTACACGAAAACACACGTTGCTTTGGTTTTGCATTTTCTCGCAAAATATGTGATCCATGATCGTAAACAATGTTCTTTAAAAGAAAACGGAGCGATTAGGATGTGACTGGAGGTACATTTTGTAACGTCCGATCAAAGAAAAATTCTCATCATTATACGCTTTGTTTCTTTGATTTACCCATTGCTGTTTAACGATTAAAACTTGCGATGGAATATAACCTATTTACTGACGTGCTTAATCTCCTATCATTTAGCATTCTAATTACGTTTTTGCATGCGTAGTATTTCTTCTTCATTCAAGTGTCAATTTCTCGCATGTCAGGTTTGTTTGCGTTTGTTTTCAAAGAGAACTAGTTGTCTAGGACCCAGAAAACAACAAAACTATCTTGACAGCTCAACAGAGCTATTGAGAATTTTAAAAATAATTATCTAAACTTGTTTCTTTTTTCGTAATACATGCACATTTTAACGTATCCGATCACATTGCATGCCACAAGCAGGCAACAAGCCAGGAATTCAAAGAAGCCACCGAAGTCTCGCAATACTCCGCAAAAAACATGTATATTACTATCGTCTGTTTGATTAATCTTAAAGATAGGGTGTTTTCCTGCTTCCAGAAAAGTGTTCGGCCACGATCAAGTATTTGTGGTTTTGTAAGATGAACGTAAAAGGAAACATGACACACTGCTTTCAACACGTTTCAACTATGTCCACGCTTGAATGATCCCTTTAAAGCCCTAAGGGCTTTGATTTCACTGCAGAAACAACAAATAGATTAAAATATTTTTATCGGTGGTGTCATTGAATGTTCGATTAATTTTTATACAAAATATTTCCTCTTTGAAATAGAGTCTTAAATTTATATAATCGTTTATCCACATTCGATCCCTGTGTCTAGACAGGTTCTGTGATTCAAGGCTAACTCCCCTTACGCCAGCGGTAGTACCTTATCGCTCCGGGTCCTCATCGTCTGAAGAATTAGTCATTAAATTAAGCGATCCTTTTAACTCTGGTAAATCATGCTGCAACTCTAGTCCAAACGCAGAGATGAGTGTTTTTAGCGTCTCTTCGTCAACACTGTCTAGTATACTCCACTGGTCACATGGATCCGCTGAGGCCTTGACGGGGTGTGTGTGGCATTTATTGTGATCACACATAATGTCTGTCACTGTTTACAACCGTTGCTTCTTTGAACAGAGCAGAACGTTTTTGCAATCAGACCAGCTGGTGATATCTCCTTTACAAAACGCAGACGTTCTGTCGTGATGTGAAACTCACGTAGCTAGATTCGTCCTTCAGTAACAATTAGACCGAGTTGCTTGGATCTCCTACGATTATGTGACACGAGATGGCACTTCAAACACCTAGCTATAAACAAGTTGACTCACTGTTTGTGTTGGCCTCGCTGATAAAATGCGTCTTGAAAGCACGGCCGATAGAGTTAGTCCTTACGTGATTAACAAGTCTTGAGAACTTTGTGGAGTGTGAGATTGTAGATTCTGTTTTACCGTACCACTCCTATTGCTCACGAGAGTAACACGTCTACACTGCGACTTGGCTATTTTGGGAATGAGTTTTTGTGTACATATGTAATTTTTAATAACAGACGAAATCGTCACCTCTGGGAGCGCGCATAGTTTGAATGAATTTGTTGACTCAGTGAGTAGTACCCTGGAGAAACGTCGAGGTAGCGGGGAGGGGGGGGAGGAAGGAGAAAATGGCACAAGTAATGCAAGACTCGTAGAAGAAAAAGCCCCCACCAACTTGAGGACAGTGTTTATGAATAACAAAATATAATTCAACTTTGGTATCATATGTAATGTTTTGGCCCTTTCCATTTGCAATCCTGCTTTTCTTGAGTTGTAACCACATTTCTCTCTCTCCTCCCTAATCTATTCTTTAACGCACTGAAGCGTGACACTGTATATCCACCCCTAGTGAAACCTTAAAACCATGGCATTTTGTTCCCAACCGCCATAGAATTATTTTCCTTGTGTGCACGTATTTTTTTTCTGTGACTGTTGTAGGGTATGAAAAGAGAAATGATATGAGGTCTGATATTGCAGGATGTTATACCTGTGCCAGGTAACTTACGTCAGGCAAAACCGTGAATGGCTTATGTCATGTGAAGTGAAACACGTACTTGTGCTCGCATGTTAAGCAAAAAAAATTA